ATGGGTAAAATAAGTTGGGTCAGCTTCAAAACAATATAATTGGTATTTGTCTCTCCGGCCACTAGATGGGGGTAGAGAGCAGCAACAGTATATAAACTTATATGTTGGGACATGACACTCACCATCACACGATTTACATTCCGGCACTTGATAAAAGCTTCATATTTATGACGGTTGCAGAGTCTCAGGGTCACGTGATCCCCTTTTGCGACCTTCCAGCAAGCAAAGTCAACCAAGCCGGATTTACTTAACAACCGTGTTACTAACTTAGCCATTGCAGGGATTCACTGAACAAGTGTAAAGTGGACAAAACTCTCACTGAACAAATCTGTCCCCGATCCACCTGGATTCCGAGCTCCATTGTCGTCACAAGTGGAGGACTATCTGTGTCTCAGGGGCTGCCACAAAGAAGAGGGGCTCCAGGGGGAAGGGGTTCCTTCCCAATTATGGTTGTAAGTGGAAGACAGCCTGCGTTTGCTAAATGTATTTGACTGCCCGTCTCATCCAGCTGGGTAGCTGACAGTCAGAACAAGATAAAAACAGAATGGAAACACAACCAATAATTGGAAGCAGAAGAAAGGAGATAGGATGCATGATGGGAGAAAGATTAAATTATCCGAAAAGATGTATACGTCGCCTCCGTGCCATCGCCGGCTGGCCTCGCCCCCTTCAAGCAGTTTAAGGCTGGGTCCCGCTGGACTGAACATGTCCACCTGAATGAATGGTCGAGCATTTAAAAGTGACCGCTTATAGAATCATAGAAAAACAAAGTTGGAGGGACCTTAAAGGTCTTCTAGTCTGACTCCCTATGGGGACAAGAAACCCTATGACATTTAGAGACAAATCATGGTCCAATCTTTTCTTGAGAACCTCCAGTGTTGGAGCATTGACAATTTCTGGAGCCAAGCTGTTCCACAGAATAGAACAGGATAGATAGGATAGGATAGGATAGGATAGGATAGGATAGGATAGGATAGGATAGGATAGGATAGGATATTGGAATGAAGAAGAGGAGAGAATATTGGAATGAAGAAGAGAAGAGACTATTGCAATGACGAATAAAAGAGAAGAGAATATTGGAATGAAGAATAGAATAGAAGAGAATATTGGAATTCAGAATAGAAGAGAAAAGAATAGAAGAGACCATTGGAATGAAGAATAGAAGATACTGTAGAATAGAAGAGAAGAGAATATTGGAATGAAGAAAAGAAGAGAAGAGAATATCGGAATGAAGAACAGAAGAGGAGAGGAGAATATTTGAATGAAGAAGAGAAGAGAATATTGGAATGAAGAATACACTGTAGAATAGAAGAGAAGAGAATATTGAAATGAAATAGAGAATAGAAGAGAATATTGGAATGAAGAATAGAATAGAATATTGGAATGCAGAATAGAAGAGAAGAGAATATTGGAATGAAAAATAGAAGAAAGAAGAGAAGAGAATATTAGAATGAAAAACAGAATAGAACAAAATAGAAAAGAGAAGAGAATATTGGAACAAAATAAAATAGAATAGAATAGAGAAGAGAAGAGAATATTGGAACAAAGAATAGAATAGAATAGAATTCGGGGGGTTTATCTTTGTCCTCAGGGTCATCTGAGTAGCAATAGCAATAGCAGTTAGACTTATATACCGCTTCATAGGGCTTTCAGCCCTCTCTAAGCGGTTTACAGAGTCAGCATATCGCCCCCA